TCCTGCTTGGCGGCCGATCAACGAGCTCCTCGGCAAGACGGAGACCGACACCTGGACGGGACACCACAAGGGCTGCCTACGTTGGCTGGCGTCACTGCCGCATTGGCCGCAGGGCAGGCTAGCCAAGCACAAGGGCGACATCGACCCGCGCTGCCTGATCTGCCAGGACGAGCGTGGGACGATCTTCCACAGGCACTTCGGCTGCCCAGCCCGGGAGCTTCGGCGGCGTGACAGGCTGCCTCCAGACCCGAAGCGCGCCGCCTATTTGTGCAGTGCAGGATGGGTGCGCCGTTCGGCGGTTTCTTCGCGATCGGGCTCTTCGTGGACCCGTCCCCACTGCTCAGCAGGCCGACCTCGCAGGCCAATGGGGAGAGACGCTCGCGCGGCTGGAGCGAGGCGCTGGTGGTACCCGAAGGACCCATGGTCTTCACGGACGACCCCTGCGTCCTCGGCGACTTCCCGCGCCTGCGCAGCGTTGGCCGGGCGGTGGTCGTAGTCTCGAGATCAGGCGATGTCATTGCCGAGGCTCGGGGCGCAGCCCCACCATCCTTGGTGCCTGCGCAGACGGCACGCGTTGGCGAGGACTACGCGGCGGTGGTGGCGCTCACAGAGATCATCGGTCCATCGGCCCCTACAAGCTGCTGCGCGGCTGCCTCGGCACGGTGGAGGCGATCCAGAACCTCGGCAAGGCGCAGGGGCCCATTTCGATCAACGCGGACCTCTGGGCTCGGGTTGCAGATGCTGCTGAGGGTGTGCTCGTCAAGCACATCCCTGCCCTCGCGTCCCAGGCGGCCGCGGCTCGCGGCGAGATAACAGCAACGGAGCGCTACGGGAATCGGCTCGCAGATGAAAGAGCCAAGGAAGGGTCGGGGCTCCACGCGCTGGCCGACGATGATGTTCGATTGCTCGAAAGATGCCTTGCGCGAGCCAGGGTCGCAGCCCGCTACGCCGCGGAGATCGAGGTCTACATCTCCAACTGCGGCAAGCGGGACCGATGGCCCACGGAGGCGCTCGACGAGACCAACCTCGAGCCCTACCTCTACCCGCAGAACGTCCCGGAGTACGGCTCGAGCGCGCAGGACCACCCGACGTCGACGGCCACGAGAGCAGGGGCGGCGGCGGCCTTTTGCAGCGGGCGCCGTCCTGGCAGCGGCCCCCGCCAGCCCAGGCACCACTTGCAACGCTGAAGGCCAAGGAAGCACTGGTGAGCGGGCCTGCACGAAGCAGCCTGCGGCTGCCGCGCGCTCGCGGCTCGGCGCTGCTGGCGGCAGCGCCGCGCCCGTGTCGGCCGCGTCGCAGGTCTTTGCGAGAGCAGTCAGAGCGCGGGCATAGGCCAGGGCCGCCGAAGCCGACGAGCCAGACGCTGTGCCGAGCCCCCCGTGCCAGAGCTCGTCGGCTGCGCCTGCGGCTGGGGGCCCCTGGATCACCAACGAGCACCAGCTGATGGAGACGCACGCGCTGGCTCGGCCATGGGAGCGCTTGCTGGCGTGCACGTCGGTTTAAGCGCATTGCAACCAGCCGCGCCATGCGCGCAGGGGTCTCGGCAAGGTATGCCATGGCGCAGAGACCAGAGCCAAGCAGGGTTCGAGAGCGCAGGCGAGGTCAAACTTCGCGACGATGCTCCTCCCTGGCAAGACGACGGAGCCGATCGCTCCTCTGGCTTCACCGTCGCCGAGCACTCGAGCCAGGCGGGCCAAGGCGCTGGAGGTCGACCCCGTGATGGTGCAGGATGGCCGCGCTGCTGGCACGCCTGGCCCCGCGGCGGCGGCGAGGCCTGCCGCCGCCCCCGCGGCGCCCGCGCCCCGCCAGAGCCCCGCCGCCCACGCCCCGCCAGCTGCCCCTACGCCCACCCTGCGAGCGGGTGCGAGCGAGACGGAGGCGGCGCCGGGGTTCCGCATGCCTGGGTTGGACGAGGTCCTAGCGCCCCACGGCTTCGCGACGGCGGCCGACGCCAGGGCCCGCGGGCGGGCGGCGCAGGCTACCCGCCGCGAGCGGGCGCGCGAGCGTGCGGAGGGCAGCTCGGCCTAGGGCGGAGCGGTACGCGGTCGGCGCCCCCGCCCCTGGCCCCGTGCGCGCCGCCGTTTGCGGCGCGTGCAAATTCTATGCGTGGCACGCGCGCCCTGTGCGCGCTCGGAGAGTTAAAGGAAAATGCCCTCCCCGTACTCAGAGGAGTCGTTCGGTAGGCGTGTTTGTCTAATTCCGTGTCCACGCATCGCCGCGCACGCCGTGGCATGTATTGATTTGTGCACGGGCATTGCGATAATATCGAACTGTGGATCTAGCGGACTGACCAGAGTTCGCATGGGTTGAGAGTGTCATCTGTCTAACAGACCATGCGCCCGACTCGTTCCCAGCCCCGTGCCAGAGCACCTCGATGCGCATATAACATAACGGGCGTCTGGGGCCCAAGGCCTTGGGCCCCCCACTTTTTCAAAACTCCCCCCCCAGCAACCCACTGTCGTCCCCGGCGCCGGCAGACCTTTTTGAACGCTCCAGGGCGTTCCCTGCGCCTCCAGGGCCCCCCTCGGGGCTCGCAGCGGAAGCCCACAGGCCGCCAAGATGGCCCAAGAGCACACCAAGCCGCCCAAGATGGCCCCACGATGGCCCAAGAGGCCCCCAACAGGCCCCAAGAGCGTTCCGAGGGGACCTCCAAGAGATCCCCAATGTTTTTGTCAATATTTGCCGTGTTCTCGCGTTTTCGGGTTTTCGGCACTCCACGACCGCCCAGGAAGCCTCCAACCTTGCCCCAAGAGGCCCCCAAGACAGCCCAAGAGGGCCCCCAAACGGCCCAAGAGGCGCCCAAGACGGCCCAAGAGGGCCTCAGGACGGCCTCAAGAGCGGCCCAAGAGGGGGGGAACACGAACCGATAATTCGAGCCTTCCGCCCCAAGAGGCCCACAGGAGGCTCCAAGAGGCCCAAAAGAGGCCCCCAAGAGGCCCAAAAGAGGTCCCAAAACGGCCCCAAAACGGCCCCCCAGTATATGGACGAACGTGTGACGAGCCGGCGTTGCTGCTGAGGCTCGCAACGCGTTCTGTCGGGGGTCAGTTCCCAGCGCGATGCCAAAGTTCTTAAGTAATGATCCAGATCGTGAACACCTCGCAATGCATCTTTGGAAGGCGGCGTTGCCGCTAGCACCCCAGGGATATTGAGACAGATGGCAGCGCAAGCGCAGAATTGAAAGGACAATGCGGGAACAGACGCTAGCCCAGAATCTGAAAGTGCCACCAAGTCCAGAGAAGGCCAGAATAGGCCTTGTGCCAGGAGAAGAGCATTGAAATAGCTGCAACACAATCCCACTAAGTCGGATAATAAGGAAAAGCCGGTGGTGGACATGCAGATCCCACGGAGATTGCGTTAGGCTTCGGAGGATTAGGCCCTGACGTGGCTTCCAGACTACCGCCGCATGCGAGCGGATAAATCCTGCCCCCCCCGAGGCCAACTTAGAAAACATATAGCTTGTCCTGGCCGCGTGGCCGATGGACCGGAGGCTACCTGTGACAGTTATTGCCCAGCAGCTTGAGGGGGGTGGAGGGGGGGAGGAAATTTGTTACTTTTCCATCTCCCCGTGAGAAGTCTGTGTGGCAATCGAAGCGTTCCCGGGGCCGGCCGACCGGCCAGAGGATTGGCGAGTTGGTGCGCTAGCGTCACATGGAGGTTTACCGACGGCGGAAAAGGGGCATCAGCCACTAAGTTTGCACACCTTATCCCTGGGATCTCTGAGGTTCGAGAACCCTCGGGGTCGTACGGCCTCTTGCGTTATTGTGAATTGGATTGCGTTGTCTATCACTTGGTTGCTTTCCGACGGATGTGCAAAGGCATGGCTCCGCAAACGGCGTTGCGCTGGTGAACACTGTTGTGTGTTTGCATGTTGTTGTATCGCATCGCATTGCCTTGCCTTTCATTTGCTTGTGCAAGCTTTTGCTTGCAATGCTTCTCGCTGCATGGCGCTCGCCATCTGGTTTCCATGGCACTGCGTGGCATTGCAATAACAGTGTGGGCACTCCATTATGAACATTATCGAGGATATGTGAACTTGTCACGGCCTGGGGGGTGCTATAACCTAAGCGCGCGCGAAGCGCGCGCGTGGTTCTAGTCATGATAGGTGGAGGTACAGCGTGTATAAAGTGCTTATCCCTGCGGCACTGAGCTGGCCCAGTCTTGCGGGCAACCCTGCCGAGACCTGTTGCAGTCCGCACCCTCATGGGTGCGAGGTGACTGGGGCGCGCGGGGGGTCTGAAGAGACGAGAGGAAGAAGAAGCTTTGGACTGGACCCGGCTATGATCCGCCAGGCTGGGTTGAACCGAGCTGCACTTGGCTGGACAGATTTGGAATGCATTGGGTTGGACTCGCCTTGGGCCTTGCCTCCTGGCCTGCAGATGGGCTGGGCAGGAGTGGAATGGGCCGACTGAAATTCAGTTGGGTTGGACCCACTTTGATGCGATTCGACTCGCCTGCTGGGCCCGCGATTCCGATTCGATTTGGTTCGATCCACTTGCATCGGCCGAGGCCAGCCAGAGCCAGGCGCGGCGGTCCGATTTCGGTTAAAGGCGGAACGATTCGTTGGCGATCCGATTCGTTTCCGATCCTGTTTCGCGGTTCGATCAAACTCAGGTTTGCCCACTCTTCCCGCACGCTTCGCAGTGGGGACAGCCCCTCGACGGTGTCGTGCGCGCTGCGCTGCGCGGGTGGTGCGCCACACTGGAACAAAGACATTTGCGGGAGCCGCGCATAGGATCAGGCAGATGGGGGCGACGAGAAGTTGTTTCAATGATTTTAAACACGTGCATTACTCAGACGCGAAGGGCACGCATGCCTTGCACACGGCCATGACACAGAAGGCCATTTGTTCGGATGCTTTCGTCGGATGAGCTATACAGCGCTTGCGCAACCAACAGTCACCCTATTCCTCCTGATGACCTATGCTCTTCCCTCAGCACTTCCCCCCAGCCACCCCTCACTCCCTCGATCTTCCCTTCCAGATCTTACAGCGCCTCTCCCAGGATCTGCCCGTGCTGCGGCGAGAGCCCACCATCGAGCGCCAGATGTCAAGAGTGCCCGCTGGGGCCTCCGCCGATGGTTATGCTGATCCTCCTCCTCTTCCTCCTCGTCCTGCTCCTCCTCCTCCTCTTCGTCCTTAATGTGCCGTCTTCCCGTCTGGAATAGCCATGCCCACTTCCTTCCATTGGCTTTCCATCCCAGGCCTGCCTGCTGTGCGTGTGGTGTGTGTGGGTGGTGCGTGTGTGTGTGTGTGTGCGTGCGTGCGTGTGTGTTGTGTGCATTGAGTGGTGTGGTGTTTTGTGGTGTGGTGTGGTGTGGTGTGGTGTGGTGTGGTGTGGTGTGGTGTGGTGTGGTGTGGTGTGGTGTGGTGTGGTGTGGTGTGGTGTGGTGTGTCGTGGTGTGTTGTGTTGTGTTGTGTTGTGTTGTGTTGTGCCGTGCTGTGCTGTGCTGTGCTGTGCTGTGCTGTGGTGTGCTGTGTGTTGTGTGGTGTGTTGTATTGTGTCAGTTGTGTGTCGTGTGTTGTGTGCTCGCACGCGTGTATGTGGGTGCGTGGATGTGCTTGTGTGCGTTCGTGTGTTTGTGTGTTTGTGTGTGCGTGTCCGCGTGTGTGTGTTTGTGGTTGCGTGCGTGGTGGGTTGTGCTGTCTTGTGGTGGAGTGTGGTGTGGTGTGTTATGGTGTGTTGTGCTGTGCTGTGTTGTATTGTGCTGTGCTTGGTCGTGTTGTGCTGTGCTGGGTTGTGTTGTGCTGTGCTGTGCTGTGTTTTGGTGTAGTGTGTTGTGTTGTGTGTTGTGTGTTGTTGTGGTGGTGGGTGTGGTGCATGTGTGTCGTGTATTGTGTGTTGTATGGGGGCGCGTGTGTGGGTGTGTGTGCGTTTGTGTGCGTGTACGTATGCGCGTGTGTGTGTGTGTGTGCGTGTGTATGTGTGTGCTTGTGTCCGTGTATGTGCGCTTGTGTGTGTGGTGTATGTGTGGTTGTGCGTGTGCGTGTGCGTGTGTATATGTGTGTGTGCGTGTGTGTGCGTGCGTGTGTGTGCGTGCGTGTGTGTGCGTGCGTGAGTGCGTGCGTGCGTGCGTGCGTGTGTGTGCGTGTGTGCGTGTGTGCGTGTGTGCGTGTGTGCGTGTGTGCGTGTGTGCGTGTGTGCGTGTGTGCGTGTGTGCGTGTGTGGGGGTGT